CAAAACATGACACATCCATTTTAGAAATAAAAACAAAACAAGCACCCTGTGGCAGAAACAGTTTTATCATTGTTTTTTGTTTTGTTTTGTTTCTGGTTTTTTTTTTTCTGTTTTTTTGTTTTTTTTTTCATTTCTGGTAACATCAACCCAAGTTTGGCTTTCGGTGTCACATGATTGTTGGACTTGACATTTCTCCCAGTGTTTCCGCCTCATATCTCACCCCAAAGTTTGTGAATGTTGTTGCACTCTGAGTCACACGGAAAGTCATCACACACTGTCCAACTGACCCGCACACAAACACACACACACACACACACACACACACACATTTGGCATGTGCACACACATTCAACAGCAGGCTGCGGAACAGTTTGTGGGTCAAAAAAAAAAGTGAGGCGCAATTGAATTTGTCTCCCAAAATAAAATTTYGATGGCTAAATGTGACTAGAGACAATCATCTGAATTGTTTAGTGGTAGTTTAAAATCTTCACCAGGCTCACGAACAAAACAAAACAAAACTACCTAAAATAAAAAGAAAGTAAGGACCGTTTAGGAGATTTGAAAGGAAAAGTAGAAATACGCCTTTACCCTGTGCTCATGTGGCTTTCCCTGGCTGAAACTCCAAAGTGTCAGTCACTGCATATTTATTCTCACGTGTTTGTTGAAGCAGGAAGACAGATCACCTCCTGATGAAGCTTTTTCACACTGAAATATCAGCGCTGTTGCTCACGTTGACGCCAAACAGACAGCTGCATGGGAAACATGTCATAAGTGTACGTTACAGCTCACTTTGTATCCAAGAAAATTTAATCAAAGTTATTCAAATAGCTGCAAATGCTGCTTTTAGAGATGATTTAGTGAACCCAAATTACTGCAGGAAAGCAGAAAAATGACCCACTTTCTCACACAACAGCACAACTTTACAATGCATGTGTTAAATCAGCTTTTTTTTTTTTGTTTATTTCATGTTATCTTGGTGGCAGAATCAGTTTTATTATTGGCAGAGTGKTTAGGGGAGTTGTTCCTCTAATGCGAGAGTTGGTGGTTTGATTTCCCGCTATACCATCATATGTTGAAGTGTCCCTGGGCAAGACACTGAACCCCTGCTGCCCCTGATGTGTGTCYCATCAGTGTATGAATGTGATTTAAAGCACTGATTAGTCTCTATAGAATGATTTATGTAGATTAGCTTTGTGGTGAGATCTAGTATGAATGGGTAAACGAGGGCACAGATTATAGTGTGAAGAGCTTTGAATATCCTGGTTGGACAGAAAAGCACTTTACAAGTACAGTCCATGTACCATTATCTCATCATGCAAGTTCTAATTTATTCCTCCGACCCCAGGATTAAAACCAGTCAGAAAAAAAAGCAGTGTTTTGAGCTCAGATATGCTCTCAGATGTGTTTCCCCCTGCAGGCTTTGTAAAGTGCGACTAAAATCTGGACCCAGCTCTGACTCTGGGTCGGCTGCGCTGATAAGGAAGGTGTCCGCTTTCCGAGGGGCCTCTGTTGTCTAAACAGGGATGTGCTGATCCGACAACAAACACGGAGGAAACAGGAGTGCAGGGAAGCGCGTGGAAACAGGAGCAAGTGAAGGGATGATAAAGCACTTTTTCTTAGTTCGTTTTATTGGAGCAACGCTAGATAAGGTTTTTTAAAAAAGTGGACACTGAGTCATAAATCATGGTCCGACAGGTTGGATGTAGAGTTTTGATTGCGTTAAGCAGGCCGACTGATCCGATTCGCCCTCGTCGTGTTCTTTGTACTGATTGATGGAGAGACACACCAAAAGGTGAGCTGTAGGTTAGGAAGAGGGAGGTTTTTCTTTTTCTTTTCTTTTCCTTTTTTTTCCTCCCTCCAAGCTGAAGCTCTGAGGCTGAGCTCAGTTCAGGGTGATGACAGCTGCTGACAGTTTTTGGCTCCTCGCCCTCTTTCTCCACGCCAGGTAACTCCCCCCCCTCCTCTGGCTGCCTTCAGCCGAACGCCATGTTTCAGACAGCGTCACTCACTGCCTCTCCCCTGGCGCCTGATGCACCCTCTCTGTTTCAATAGCAGCTATTTTCCCACTTGCTCTTACATTGTCACTGTTACTACATAAACAGAGAGCGGCGGTCCRGTTACAGCCTGGTCCTGCTCCGCTCCCTCACCTGCTCATCCCAGATCTGATGCTCCCCAAACTCCTCACTGCTCAGTGAAGTGTGAGACATCAGAAAAGCTTGAAAATAAAACATATTTGGAGAGGTTTTTTAAAGACATTTCTTAATTACGAACTGATGTCTTTTGAAAATAAAAACTCTTGGTTTGTGTTTCATCCAAAACAGATTAAATATACCTGTCAAAATGTAACTGAAGCCTGAGGGGCTTTGCTCTAAATTGTGTCGTCTCAAATTATTACAAAGTTATTAAATTAGGATTAATATAGAGAAGAAGGCTACCAAGTAAGAAGCTGGGGCTTGTAGGTTTGTTCATTCTGCTCTAAATAAAAAGCAGAGAAGAAATATAAAAATAAATTAAGTTATTCTCACCAAAAACCAGAATTGATAGTTTGTCATTTTGTTGTCTTATTTTCTTTTCTTTGTTTAAAAATTAACTGTATGTTCTTAAATAACAAGCTAGAACTCGACACCAACCATCGCAGGTGTCCCCCGTCACGGACGGAAAGCATTTCTAAGGCCCCCACCTGGACGCCGGGGGACAAAAATTACATTAATTAAAAGCTAAAACAGAGGAAGGCTTTAAAATTATATTTAAAAAAGTAAAAATCCTAAAATGCAGTGTCACTGTTGTTGCTGATAAATGAAAAATTCCCTCAAAACTTGATTTACGGTACCTCACATTTATTCTGACATGTTCTATTTTAACTTTTAAATGATTTGCATTAAAACACTTCCAGTTATTTTATTTTTTTTACAGTTTTTCATTGAACGCTGTAAATTTGATAGCGTTCTTTTAGTAAATGCAGATTGTCCGTGGGCGTTAATGCCACAGTTGTAAACAAAAATGACGTTGTGACTATTTTTGGCCAAATCTTGGTTAAATTCAATCTCACATATTTGAATAATGTCATCTGATCCGTTCCAGTCTGAGCCACATAAAATTTTACCTCCGTTTCTGTAACGCTGACAGTTATTTTGTTCTCATTTTGGTTAGCAGTGGCGGCCATCTTAAATTGATTAATTCAGAAGATACTTTGCTAACTAAACAATCCGACTGCACGATTACAACAATTAAAACAAAGATGACTAAAAACCTTTTGACACCAGTTTGATGTTTGAAAAACAAAACCTCACCACAGATCTAGTGGTTGTTCCAGATTTTCTTGAAGACTTGAAAATCTCTTTTTAACTTGGAAAATTCAAACAGACAGTAATGTTTTTAAAGTTCACTTCAAATCAGCATCATTAGCCCAGATCCCAGCTGGTGGGTTGTGTCTTTCCATTTCAGGATAACACTCATTATTACAAGTCATTATTTTAAATCACAATATTATACAGGAACTAAACAGTCGAAGTTTAAGTTTTGTTTTTTTCCAGCTGTAGTCTCACAGTTTAGATATTTTAATGTTGAAACTAATGAGTTTTATGAAAGCTGGTGTTAATTTGGACTTGACTCCCTGTCTTGGTCACGTTTGCAGACATTCTGAAGTTTACAGCAGGCTGCTGATCATTAGCAATGGCCTTCTTTAGTCAAGGTCAAAGTTAAATCGTCAGGGTTTTATTTAACCTCTCGGCCACTGAGAAGTCTCTGTCCTCGGGCTCACCTCCTTCTTTCCTTTTCTTTGCCTTTTTTTTTTTTTTTTGCCCCCTCTCTGTTTTTATTAGATAATTCCTTTGTGCCTCTCTGGTTTTGAAACGTTACCACTCTTGTTAAGGACACGCTGTGGGTTCAGGGTGGGGTTGCTGCGGTGGGCTGGAGGTCACGTTTGCTTCAGGCCTGCGCTGTCCATTGAAGGCGACAGGAGCGGCTGTGACTTTGGGGGTTTTGACCCTCAGATTCTTTATTTTTTACTGGGAAGGGATCCAAGGATTGAGCCGTTGATGTGAATAGCGGCCCAAGGTGACTGGATCCCAATAAAAGAGGCCGTCACCCTGGCCGGGGCCCCCCTTCCCATCTGAGACACAACCTTTATTGGGCCGGTTATGAGCCTGGGCAACTATTAAACCCCATCCAGCCCACACTGAGGAATTTAGGGCCAGGAAACAAGGGGAGTGGGGGGTGGGAACGGGCTCGGAGAGGTGAAGTTGGGGTGACTGAAGGTGAAAGTTAAAAAGACACGTTTGATGCAACCTGGTTGGTCTTTAGTCATCACCTCTAAATGTGCACCAGRCATGTTGGGTGAACTTTCCTGCAACTTTTTTTTTTCTTTTTCTTTTTGCTGTTTTCACTAGAACCAGTCAAGAGGCCTTTTGCTAAGAAACATGTCATGAAACTTTCTTTTTCGCGAGGCGGTGAGAGGGAGCAGAGGGAGACGGCGGAGTCTCGTAAACACGACACCTCTGTTTGTTCACATGGAGCTGGAGGGACGCGGTTTGGACGGCCTTTCTAATAAAAAAAACGAACAAAAGCACAGACGAAAAAATAAATAAGAGGGAGTCAAAAAGTCAGTAGAGGTATCGCCATCGCACCCCACCCCACAACACTCTCCAATAAACGGTGAAGCCAATCAAATCTCAGCTGCCAATCAGCATTTTATCTGCACCGCCATCTGGCCATCACCTAATTGTGTCCTTTTAAGTCCTTGTCAATCAGCAGTGACCCCCCCACCCCATGAACCCCCCCTCCTTTTTCTCTTAAAAATGCCTGCTTTGGAGCCGGTTGCCTCCTGGCTCCATGGGGTGGCCTTGGAGGTGGGGTGGGGTGGGGGTGGGGTTTGTTGACCACTCTCTCCTAATCAGCTGCTGCATTAGCTTTCATCATCGTTTCAAAGGCTTGGAGAATTAACGCAAACAAGATGCTTTCAATATAACAGGAGACCCTTTATTTCTCTGTCCCYCCTGCAGCGGTGGAGACCCAGAGCACCAGTTCAGAGGAGATGGTGCCCAGCTCCCCCTCCCCTCCTCCTCCTCCTCGTGTCTACAAGCCCTGCTTCGTGTGCCAGGACAAGTCGTCTGGTTATCACTACGGCGTGAGCTCCTGCGAGGGCTGCAAGGTAAAAGGAAGCCAGTTTACAGGAACATAGGTGTCCTCAGAGCTGAGAAAGCCCTCGTTTGGCCTGGTAGACGTGTTGAAGAGTGCAGCTGTGATGTTTCTGCCCTCTAGTGTGTGTCTATGAGTACTGCACGTTTCCTACTCTAACTTTGACCACCTGTGTTCGTATAAAATCAGGCTTAAGGTTTCAGAATCATAGTACGTTCAGTCAGAACCCAGTAAATCAGCGTCAGTGTGCATTTTAATAACGATGCTGCTTTAAATCTCTGCTCAAAAGGTTTTAAAGAGGTAGTTCACATCTTTAGGAGTGGGGTTTAGTGGAACCGTTATGAACAAATATTATCTTACCTGTTGTAGAGAACTCTTTGAATGACCTCAGTTTATTCTGACAGAACTGATAAGTAGTCTGAACAGGACCAGAACCAAAGTGGTCGGTGCCATCATAAAAGATCTGCCGTGAATCCTTTTCCCCACCCATTATCAGTTTTGCACAGTTTTGTATAAAGTACCTCAAAGTCATTCTTGAGTGAAAGTACTTTGGTATCAAAAGTAAATTTTGGCTTCTAATGTCTGATATGTCCTGCTGCAGTGATGTGATGTGTGTCATGTGATGGTTGATGACGGGAATGTTTTATATTTATACTTTTCTTCCAACCATAATTAAACTCTATCCATGAGGAGCCATATAAGATAGGGTTTTCTCTGTTTTAGGTTGTTTTTGAACAATGACGAGCCAGAATGAAATGGAAATGAAATAAGTACTGTAGAAAGTACAGAGAATTGTGTGTAAATTTGTGTGGTAAAAATTAAAATGATTACTCCAGTAATGTATTTTTACTTTGTTACTTTAGACCTCTGACTTTGCGACACAGTTTTTTTTAAAACATAATTCTGTACTTACTTACAAGCCCAAATAGCAGCAGTAGCAGCTAGCTGTAGCACTTACTTCCCAGGGCACATTCTGCAGGAACATCATGTTTCTACTGGAATAATCACACAATTCCAATTGACAGCAATCTAAATAAAAGCTTTGAAAGACAAGCCATTAGCTCATCAAAGCTTTCAGAATTAAAGTCTGTTTCAGTCAAGAGCTATCCACAGCAGGTAAGATAATGAATTGTTGTCTTAAAAACAACACAGCTGTTTACACACCATTAAAGTGATGAACCAGCTGACCTAATTAAGCCACACTTTATTCAGACTACCTGTTGACGTAAAATAAATGGTAGTTGGAGGTAGCTTAACTCATAACTTGTTTTACATGACAAGTTTAGGGAAGCTGTCTTGCTTCTGTTATTTAGCTTAGCACAAAGACAGAAAACAGAACCGTCAGACTGTCTCTGTGTCCGAAGGTGATAAAATCCAGCAGCTTTAAAGTCAGACTGAGAGTCAGCTGTTGCTCTGTTTCCACTCATAGATCCACAATGAAAACAGGAAAAGTTTTCCCAGATTATTTACAATTATTTCTCCTGGTCTAACACAGTTTTGTTTTGTTTTTTTGTTGTTTTTTTGTCACAGGGTTTTTTCCGTCGCAGTATTCAAAAGAACATGGTGTACACCTGTCATAGAGACAAGAACTGTCAGATTAACAAAGTGACTCGGAACCGCTGCCAGTACTGCCGGCTGCAGAAGTGCTTTGAGGTCGGCATGTCCAAAGAAGGTCAGTTGGCACAATAAGAAAAATAAATAAATAAAAGAGGTCTCTAGCATGAGTTAGTGAAACCACAGTCAGATGTCTCATGCCGTCTCCATTTTTATCCTCAGCGGTGCGTAACGACAGGAACAAGAAGAAGAAGGACGTGAAGGAGGAGGTGGTGCTGCCGGAAAACTACGAGCTCAGCGGAGAACTGGAGGAGCTGGTCAACAAAGTCAGCAAAGCTCACAAAGAGACCTTCCCGTCTCTGTGCCAACTAGGAAAGTACACCACAGTGAGTGTTGTTTTTAAACCACTTTATGAACACTCACTCTCCAGTGAGCTGCTGCACAGGAAATACAAACAGCACAGATTCTGCACGGTCACACGGAACAACAGTGTTTCTGCTTGTCTCCTGCAGAATTCGAGTGCCGACCACAGAGTACAGCTGGACTTGGGCCTGTGGGACAAATTCAGTGAGCTTTCCACTAAGTGCATTATAAAGATTGTGGAGTTTGCCAAGCGGCTACCGGGCTTCACCACACTCACCATCGCTGACCAGATCACCCTCCTCAAATCTGCATGTCTGGACATCCTGGTATTAGCCGCCACGCTCCCAGCTCTCCTCCTCCTTCACCTCCCTCAGGCCTCCTCGTCTCACGCTGCCTCAAGTGTTGTTAAACGTCTTTTACTCAGAATATATATTTGTTTTACAGCGGGTTGCTTTTTGTCTCCTTAGATGCTGAGGATATGCACCCGTTACACTCCGGAACAGGACACCATGACGTTCTCAGACGGGCTGACTCTCAACAGAACCCAGATGCACAACGCCGGCTTCGGCCCGCTCACAGATCTGGTGTTTGCCTTCGCCGGTCAGCTCCTGCCTTTGGAGATGGACGACACAGAGACGGGGCTCCTCAGCGCCATCTGTCTCATTTGTGGAGGTAGTCCATGTGTCATCGTGTCCTCCTGCAGACGAGGGATTGGTGGATGGGAGCAGCTAGTTGTGTCTCATGACGCCGTGCTGTTTGTCAGCGCGTTCATGCTTCTTTTCTTCTCGTGCTCAGACCGAATGGACTTGGAGGAGCCAAAGAAGGTAGACAAGCTTCAGGAGCCGCTCCTGGAGGCTCTGAAGATCTACACCCGCCGCCGACGCCCCGACAAGCCTCACATGTTTCCCCGCATGCTGATGAAAGTCACTGACCTCAGAGGAATCAGCACCAAAGGTCAGCTTGTTTTTTTCTCTTTTAACAAAGTGTAAACAAGATTTCAATGAGAATATAAAAACAAACTGATTTCTGCCAAAGGTTCACCTGGATTAATAATTTTTTTCAGTATTTATAGCGAACTATAGCAAAGGGATTGTGGTTAAATAATAAGAAGCATTGCTTTTGTGAGCATTTAAGATTTCTGCCATTGAACATTTAGTCATCGGCATAACAAAAAAAGTCATAAAGACCAAAGTTCTGTGGAATAAAAYGTGTTTTTATGCCTGCAGGTGCAGAGCGAGCCATCACCCTGAAGATGGAGATCCCTGGCCCCATGCCCCCCCTGATCCGGGAGATGCTGGAGAATCCGGACGTGTTCGAGGACAGCAGCGACTCCAGCGACAGCGCCACCACCACCACCACCGCCGCCACCGCCGCTCCCCCCGCCAGCCAGGCCATCAAGCAGGAGGACAAGTCCACGTACGAGTCGGCATTCGAGGAAGAGGAGGAGGAAGAGGAGGACGACTACTGGGACGAGGAGAAAGAGTGGGGGGCAGACAGTGACGGAGAGCAGGGCGGGGAGGCGGCGGGGAGCGCACAAAAGAAAGCCGGGAAAACGCCGTGAAAGAGACAGGAAGTGGAACACCTCCCAATTTCAGGCTCCTGAGGGTTTTTTTTCATACAAACTGTACATATTGACTGGAAGAGACTGAATTCAGAATAAAAAGCAAAGAAATGAAGAAGAAGCATAATGTTTCAGTGGATTCATGAGGGCGCATAAGAAAAGATATTACAAAGTGGTCACCACAAAGAGAAGCGAGGATTTGGACGAAGAAAATGCACTCCTGCCGTGTGTGTTAAGGGCTACGCTTTGTATAAAATTAATGATAAAAAAGAAATTATTTGCAACTGAATTCTGTGTGGGCCACCACACATTATCTGTGTTACTTTTCAGAGATATGCAACTTATTTTTTTCATTGTACGTGTTTTTTATTATTATTATTATTATTATTTCTAAGCATGTACACACTATTATCTGTATGCCTCCTTGTGGGACCTTTTGTGTATTTTCCACTCGACCTTGCTCATGTTTGACTTGATAACTTTGACACGTTGAGAGACAAAGAGTCATGAGCAGGACTCAAACTCACAAAATGGAAATGACATATGCAAAAACTTTTACTTTGTGAAATTATCTGATGGGTGTTGCAACTCTGGTCTGCAAGAACCAAATTAGAAAAAAAAAACAGGAACGTGTCTCCACCTATCGACCAAAATAGCCATGTTTGGTGACACCTACAGAATCTGCCCAGAAATAATCCCCTGGGTGATTCTGTCAGGTCCATGAATCACATTTCTATATATTTTCTACCAAAATAAAAGTCTCCCAACAGAACTTTCTCTCACAGCAAAGAGAAGCAACGAAGAACTGAAGCTCCAAACTCTTTTTACAATGCAAAAAAAAAAACATCCAAAATACTGCTTAAATTCATTTTATAAGCAGTTTACTGAACAAAACCTCAAACATTTGTGTTAGCGAGCCAGTAGCATCTATAAAACTTTTATAAAGCAGAAGTGAAAACATTCAGCGGTTCTTTATGAGCACATTTATAACACATTATAATGAGCTTAATGAATATTATAAAGCTATTTCATTTTAAAGCTTTGACATTTAAAATAAAAGTAGCAGTGCCAAAATCTGAAACAAAGATACGACGCGTTCTGTTAGCTCTCAGAGTGTACGTTGGGGATGACTCTCAGCTACAACCTGTCCCGTTGGCTGGGTTAGAGCTGTTCTTTTTGGCCATCCTGACTCAGGTCGACTCTAAAAGTTACTCAGGTGTATGTCTTATACTGACTTTTTGAGTTTCATCAAGATCTGCCAGGTGGTTGATAAGATATTTAACACAGGCAACTACTACAGTATTGCCCAGGTCTGTGAAAGGTGGGTGATAATGTGTTTGTGCCTTTTTTTTAACCCTGTTATTAGTCGCCATGATGGATTTCTGCCTCTAAAACCATTAAAATGTCTTATGAATGTGCTCCTAACATTTTGTAGCTACGTTAGATATAAAACAAGATTTATTAATGGGTCTGTAATCTGTTTAGAACAACAGAAGAACCAGCAGCCAAAAAGCCACAGCTATTTAAAACTTATTCAGATGTTGAAATATTCCAAAACAATAATGAGCAACTGAACAACAGTGTTGCATTTAGTAAGTAGGAGTCTGAATTACAGTGTGTGTGTGTGTGTGTGTGTGTGTGTGTGTGTGTTAATGAATGGGAGTTATTGATCATTTCATAACATTTTGAAAGGAACAAAGTATTGTAAATGTAACGGACGCCTGACACGTTAAGGGCCATTGTGGCAACAATAAGAGAAGTTAAGGTGATCAGGAAAATGTGTCTCCAAGCTTGATAAAGGGATACTAAAGCTCTGTTGAAGGTAAAAGGTTATGAACAATAAATATCTTACCTGCTGTAGACGGCTCATTCCCAGTTTAGAGTAATTCAGACAGCACAGATCAGCTGATGGTCTGAGCGGAACCAAGACCAAAGTGGATCCAGCTCCAATCTTAAGAATTTATTGGTCATAACTCTTGGACTATTGTCAGTAAAATTCAATGGGTATTTTCAACTGTAAACAGCAGCAGCAGCTAGCTGCGACACTTCCTGCAGGACTATTCTGTAATAATATCGTTAGCATAAACTGCTATGTAACATTTGAGCTGAATGTTTAAGACGACAGCAGCCCACTCTGGTCTTGACTTCACTCTGACTAGCCAGTTGCTAGTCAGTTCAGTCAGAATTAAACTACTCCAAACCTATAACAGGTAAAATATTAACTGTTCATAATGTTTCTATGGAACCCTGCTTTAATTTAAAAGAGCTGAACTATTCCTTTAAGTTGTGTYTTCGCTTTTTATTGGATAAAATGCAGAACTTCCGTCTTCCCGGGTCACACTCAGTATTTACAGCGAATTCTACACAACATATCAAGTATTTAACAATGTTTCTACATCACACGAGCAGGAGTTTAAGTTTTTTGTTGTTTTGTTTCTTGAATCTGTTTCTTTTCCAGAATTTGAGCTGGTGCAATAAATTAGCCCTGGAAGATTTCACCAAGGTCTCAAATTTATATTCATACACACATAAACGTGTAATATTAACTTAAAAACAAAAAGACCAAAGACGGGTTTGATGTTAGGAGTGTGTGTGTGTGTGTGTGTGTGTGTAGGGGGGCTCTGTAAAGGGCTCTTCATTTATAATCGTGCTTTGTATTCTGTGACAGCAGGTTTTTTAAAAATACTGAAGCTGAACACGTCTCTTACTTTTTATTGTTGCTGAGTTTTGACTGCAAACATCTTGTCTACATGTTCAGGGATTTATACTCTTCATTTGAGCTTTAAGAAAAAAGCTTTGATGACTCCCAGCTGCACAAAAAAAGAAAGAAAGAAAGAAACATAAAAAACCGTGTTCACATGTTCTGGTTACATTTTTATGAAAATCAAATACAATGGTTGTTATTTTTTGTTATGGTTACTATATGTTTTTGCATTTCTTGTATTTTGATAAAAACACTTTTTGTTCCCAGACTTTTCTGTGTCCATTTGTCATCTTTTTTTAGCAAACATTTTGTAAAAAAAACATTCCATTTAAACACCACCTCATCTGTATAAAAGAAAGAAAAACAGATATTCTCCAAAATATTTTATTATCAATGACTAATTTATTATTTTTTCCAACAAAGATGTTTCATGTTGTTATAATCCGATGTTGGAGTTCCAAAAGTTGAAACGGACTATTTCACACTTGACCGTGAACGCACACCCACACATCTGACACGGTTACAAAAGTCACGCTCTCATGCAAGAAAAAAAAAACTAAACGACCTGGATTCAAGTGAAGCCAAGTTCATATTTCTCACTACAGTTACAACATGACAGCACAGCTCAAAGGCCTGAAATCAAGCAGTTAGATGTCAAGTGCTGAAATGGAAAAAAGCTAAATACTGTATTCTCAGACATGAAATCTGCACTTAACAGAGCTTTTAGAAAGTGGTTTGACTCTAAGTGCTAAAACTACAAAGAGAGGTCTTACAAATCCCACAACAAAAACGTCTCATTTGTCCAAACGAAAATGAATCAACAAACAACAGAATTCTCACTAAATGATCAACAATCTAAATAAAAGGATTATTTTCTTGGTTCTGTTCTTCGTCGTGTCACCACATTGGGGATTCGGCCAGCTCACTGCACACAGAAAMCACAAGGTTTTACCAAAATAAAATAATTAGTGAACTTATAGTAAAGTTATTGTATCAAATGTTTGAATTATGGCAGAGTTTAAACCATCTCTCTTTAATGGTTTGCATTGACACACAGCTACAGCTCCATTTATTTTTGACCACGGCTTTTTTATTTATTTGAATTTTCTACCAGTTATCGAAACATGTGCTTTAAGCAAACTTTCTTAAAGCTTTAATTGATTTCTTTGAGTCATCTCAAGACCATGTTGGTGTTTCACTCAGAGTCCCAACCCCAGCTTTGGGAACCACTACTTCAGTCGATCATTGACTCTGTTAAGTTTGCAGCTGATACTGTTTTATCTTTGATTTAATTTAAAGATTTGACTAAAGATCTGTGTATTTGTCACAGTTAATGGTAAAGTACACAGGTCTAGTTTTAAATAGGATCCTTTTTTAAGTTAACTGTTACTGTAAATTATGACACAACACTGATTCATGGCTTTAAGTTTGGAGCCTTTTTCTGCCTAAATGTCTTATAGATCAGAGTTTAATGCCTTTAAAAATGGTTTCTTTGCTCAGGACAATTAACAAAAACAAAGCAACCAAAGTCCAAAATAACTGGCTGTGCAGAAGCTAAGAAAGATGTGTGTCAGTTTAAAACTTTTGCACAATCGTGTACTTTGTGCTCTTTTTTAAGTCAATGCCTTCTAGAAAATAAACAACACAGGGTCTGTCAGAGCCGACAGTGTTTCTGTGTGTGAGTTGTGACTTGTTAAAAGGGATAGTCTGGTCATTTTCTGAAGCGATGCTCTGTCAAATAGTTATCAGTTGTATCTTATCAGCCATGACATCATTCACTGAGCATCCAGCCTAGGCTGATGGCTAACCAAACGAGGGCCAGTTCATTGGTTTTCAGGCCTATAAAACAATTCTTTGTTTAAATGACATACTGCTGTGAAAGAACGCTATTAACTTCACTTTTTCCATTTAATTTTATGCTTTTTTTGTAAATATGCAACAGAAAAAACTGAAATCATCATATATTAAAACATTAAAATATAAATACATAAAGCCGCGTTCAAAAGCCTGAAACCATAAAAGAACAAATATTTAATGTTATTAAAAGGGCTACTTAATGATGAGCTACAGACTGTGATAATTGCTTGATAAATCATCACTTCAAAAATGACCAGAATATACCTTTAAAGTCCAGGTTTGTCACCTCAGGACTGGACCGATGAGTTCAGGTAGGACCAGTTGGTTTCCTTCAGCAGCCAGACTTTTACTGCTCTGCTTGTCCTCGTCCAACTCCGGCTCGTCCCCCTCGCTCAGGCTCGGAGTCTCGGCTCCGTCCTCCAGGTGAGACGTCAGGAAAAGAGGTGAAGAAACAGACCTGGAAGAGGCTGATGAGGCGTCTTCGTCTGGCTCAGAGGACGAGTCTGGATCTGTTCAAGCAGACCCGTTTCATGGCAGCTCGTAAAAATCAGCGAATCGATAAAACGTTTCATTACTCACAGCCATGTGAAGACGCTGAGCTGTTTAATTTAGTTTCAGGCACAATCCCCAACTTCTGCTCCAGCTGCTGAACGTAGTTCATCACCTCCTGCATTTGCATTTGAAGAGGAAAAGAAAATTTAAAAAATGTGCCTCACCAAAAAAGAAAAAAAAAGTTGAGGATTGTAAGAAAATTCTGAGAAAATACAAGACTGWTTTTTTTTGTTTGTTTCACCTCGATATTGAAAGCGTTGAAGCAACAGTTTCACCACTGCAGGGAATAAAAATGAAATAAACTATTAAAGACCTAAAAGGTTTTACCAGTGGTGGGCAGCACTAATCTAAATGTTAGCTGCACTAACCCTAAAGCACTAACTCAAATATTTAGGTCTCCTAATTCTAAAGCACTAATTTAATCCAGTTGATACATGAAACATTCTTGAGTCARCATGAGACMATATTTACTGTGTGCAGAATGTGGGTGGGCCAAATGGGAGTCACTTGCAGGCCAAATGTGGCCCGCGAGCCTTGAGTTTGACACGTGACCTTGAGTTTGACACGTGACCTTGTAGATAAGCAACACACATATGAACAAAATGTATGACAGCTTTCACCCTCAGCTGAGAGCAATAATGTTGAATAATAACATTTAAAGACATCAGTTAGTGCTTCTAAATTTAGCTCATAAATTTTGCAAGTGCTAATCCACTAATGAATTTTTAAAAAWAGCAAAAGCCCTAAAGCACTAATCAAGAAATTAGTCATCCTATTAGTGCTTTAGTGCTTTAGGGGAACTGTGCCCACCACTGGGTTTTACTTAAGGAAATATATAAATATACATGCCCTCTGACTTTAGTGCCAGAGATTTAGATTGAACTCATCTTGGTTGAATCTTGAATAACGTTACGAGCAGTTTGCACGTAGCACAGAGAGACCTCACGACATGTTTGAGGTACGGCGTTGGGGATGACTCTCAGCTACCTCCACAACTAATTTAAATAGAGCTTTAGATATAGATGTTTTTGTGTTGGCTAAAACTGATCAGCAGTAGCGTCCAAACTGAGTGGAGTTTAATTAAAATGTGCCCACTCTTCATGAGATATTTTGCTAACAGACAAACAAACACGTGCACACACACACACACAACACACAGGACACAGGTATTACGCTTGAGTAATGGCAGTGGGTGAAAAACATGAAGTGTTGAAGTAAATATTCAGAGGGTCTGACTCTGCTGTGGAAACCTTGCCTGTTTGTGAAGCTGTTCCTCCTCTCGCTCCTTCTGGACTTTTCTCACATCGGCCCTGAGCTCCTGCAGCTCTCGCCTGGCGGTACTCAGCAGCACCTAGGGGTAGGGGGGCGACAGTAACTTTACTCTGTCCCACATCCTGACACAGCCCACCCACTCCCCCTCCTGCTGCTGATCATATGTTGATGTGAGGAAATGTTTACTCACTGTTCATGGAAGCTTTTCTATTTGTGCCAGCRTGTGAGCTCTGACAGAACCTGTGCTGAACTCTTGACATGCTTCTCCAGTTTCCAAAAACACACCCTGAGCTACTGACGCTGTGGAAACCCTGCACCCAAGTTATGTTTAGCCGCGATGCTGTTTGTGTGTTAGATGTTAAAAATACCTGATCTGGTTTTTTTTTTTGTTTGTTTGTTTTTTTATTTACTTACCTTCTCCTTCCCAATTTCTGACTCCAGGTTGTCTCGTTCCATCCTCTCCTCCTGGAGCCAGTCCTCCTTCTTCATGAGCTCACAGCTCAGATCGTGTAACTTCTTTTTATCAATCTGAACAAATTCAAGAGAAAGTTGGAGAAAAATTAATTAGTGAGTGCTGAATGACACAACTTAGTTCAAGCTGTTGGATAAAATCAACAGAAGATAAGCTAAAATGAGCAAAACACAAGTTAAACAAGCAGAACACAAGCTAAAATGAGCAGAACACAAGCTAAAATTAGCAGAAAACAAGCTAAAATGAGCTATACACAAGTTAAATTGAGCTAAACAAGAGTCAGAATGAGCAAACTACAAGATAAAATGAGCAAACTACAAGATAAAATGAGCAAACCACAAGCTAAACTAAGCAAAACACAAGCTAAAATGAGCAAACCACTAGCTAAAACGAGCAGAACACAAGCTAAAATGAGCACACAAGCTAAAATGCGCAGAGCACAAGCTAAAATGAGCTATGCACAAGCTAAAATGAGCTAAACACAAGCTAAAATGAGCTAAACACAAGCTAAAATGAGCAAAACACAAGCTAAAATGAGCAAAACACAAGCTAAAATGAGCAAAACACAAGCTAAAATGAGCAGATCGCAAGTTAAAATGAGCAAAAAAAGCTAAAATGAATACAGAGCTAAACTGAGCAGAACGCAAGCTAAAATAAGATTTATAACACAAGCTAAACTGAGCAAACCACATGCTAAAATGAGCAAAACACAAGTTAAAATGAGCAGAACACAAGCTAAAACAAGCAGAACACAAGCTAAAATGAGAACACAAGCTGAAATGAGCTATGCACAAGTTAAAATGAGCAAAAAAAGCTAAAATGAATACAGAGCTAAACTGAGCAGAACGCAAGCTAAAATAAGATTTATAACACAAGCTAAAATGAGCAGAACAAATAAAACAAATAAAAGCTAAAAGCAGCAGAACACATCATAAGATTATTAAAACAGATCATTAAATCAACTAAACCGATGTTATAATTAACAAACCAATGACTAAAATTATGCATTGAAAACAAGCAGTAGCTTGAAATTAGCAGAACACAAGCTAAATTAAAACACAAGCTAAACTGTAGCTGAATGCTGAATGAACACGACATCAGATAAACGTTAAAAGGAGCATAAAAAGACAAAACCAAAGCGAGAATTTAAGATTTTTTTTGTCTTGTAAGTAAAGTTAATTTTGTTTTTTATTTAGTTTTACTGAAAAGGATAAAAGTAAAAAAGTAATTGAACTCATCTGAAATGTTCTGATAACTGAATAATTAAAATAGCTAAAACTATGCTGAAGTCATTAGAAAAAAAACTTTCAGAAGAAATTTGAAAGTGTAAATGACTGACTGACAAGGAGTTCTAGGATTTTAATCATTAAAATCCTAGAACTCCTTGAAGGAATGCCTTTGTCCCTCTGCTCTTTAGGTCAGACTTCAGACCAGGATCGTTTTGTGCTCAGAGGGCAAATCATGAAAATGATGTTACACAAGAGTTCACGTGACCTGCGTGTGCAGGACTCTGTGCCGTCAGGGCCAGCAAAGTCTTCTCTGCTGGGCTAAATACAATCAGAATCACTAGTTTACATTATAGAATATTTTATATTTATTATAAAAGTTATTAATATTATTATTAGGATATTATTATTTTTGAATCATCTATTCTATTTGTTTCATAGTTTTTCTCCTGGCTGCACAGCTTCTAGTAGCTTGTATTTATTTAGAGCTTTTATCCAATCATATTTCGATCATCATCTGTTGCTAGGGTCCACAAATCTGCCCCAGGCCTTCAGACCGAGCAGTCAAGGCACCTGGAGGGTGAAACAAACGGCAGTGAGACTGTTGCTTTGACCAATCAGGTGCTGAGTTGAAGACACCAGAGCCTGCTGGCTGGCCTCGGACAGCGTCAACATTTTCTCTTCGTTTGATTGGACCCAGATCTGGCTGGTCCATTCTCTCTCAGTTGAAGGCCTAGGTGTAAAACGCACGGCCCGCCTACTTTCACACCAAACCTAGCACCTGTAAACTGACTGACAGGTAGCTGTTTGTGTGTTAGTTAAGGTCAACTAGTCATCACACACACACACACACACACACACACACACACACACACACACACACACACACACA